ACCATGCAAAATACGTTGGCTCCAAAGTGCCCATATGAGCTATAGTCTAAACTCCTAGTATCCCCCTTAATAACCCCTATAGTTGTCCCCTATATAATCCCCTATATAACCCCCCTTAAAGGAGTTTAGACGATGGCTCATATACGACCATTTGGGCCAAAAGTGCGTGCTATATGGAAGTCTCTCAGAATAATCCCTACATAATCTTTGGTAGGGCCAACCAAAGAATTGCCCGCGTAATCCCCACATACCCCCGAAGGTCCCTGAAAGGCGCCCCCTATTCCCCTACACCCAAAACCTCCAAACCTTAAACCCTGAAGCCCCCTGAAGGCGCCCCCTATTCAAAGTACCATGAACGTTTTGGGCACTGGCGCCTGCGGGTAGTCTTTCAGCTTCAGGAGAGCAGTCCAGCCTGAGTTGCTGTAAAAGATTCTAAGATAAGTTACTATCATAGGACTTAGGGCTTTGGGCTCTAGCTAGGGTTTAAGTAGGGTTTACGGTTTAATAAGGGCTTAGGGCTTCATTAGGGTTTAAGGTTTAGGGTTTAAGCAGGGTTTCGGGTTTAGGGTTAAACTAGGGTTTAGGGTTCAAACTGTATACTAGACAAAGCATCCTTATCACGGTATAAGGAAACCCTGTTATCTACTACGCACCCATACTATGGTGCCCTCAGCTGCAACCATAAACATCAGAAAACACCTATAATGATCCTAGTTTTCATGTCATGTTACATGTTCCTTTCCCAACCCCCCTAAACCCTAAACCCCAATCCCTAAACCCTAAACCCCAAACCCTGAGCCCTAAACCCTACACAACCCAGCAGCTGGCATCGTCCAAACTCCTCTCGCCGAAGCCGGTGGCAGGCTGCAAGAAGAACCCCCAGTGGTCAATAATCACCTGCCCAAAGTGTCCATGTACGCATATGTTGGATCATTCCCCGTTACGGTAACTGTTACCACAATAGGATATAGGAGTTATAAGAACCCCCTTAATAAGGCCCCTTTAAGGACAGTTACTGGGAGGGGGAATGACCCAACCCATATGGTATCTACTTTGGGCCTAAAGGGTTCCTACATAAGTACTTTGGGGCCTCAGTATATACTACATAGGTGATTCAGCCTTTGGGCTCAGAATCATCTTCTGGGTGGTTGAAACAAATCAGGTTAGGTTGCTACTACGAATACTATACCCAACTGGAGGGTATAATCTTACTCTTTTGGGGGACTCTTGTATACCAACAAAATACTGATCACCTGGCACGGGAGGGGTCTAAGAGGATAATCAGCTGCCGGGTCTTGAGGCCCACTGATTCTAGGCTCCCCAGTGACCCCTTAATAAAAGGGTAAATCTTTTCCGCATGTTCAGCTTTTAACAAGGAGCCCCAACATAAACATGCAAAACTCAGACCTGATGTAACTCTAAACCCTGAACCCTAAACCCCTAATCTACAAGTTGTTTCGTTGAGGACATCCCCTCATGATCGTCGCAAAGTCCGATGAACCCCGGACCGGCCTGCGTTTCCGGCGAACTCTTCATCAACGCTTCTATGTCCTGCTTTTCGCACAGGATCCATAGCTATGTAGTATGTATAGGCTGTCGGGTTTGGCGTTTATGGCTTACGGTTTAGGGTAGGTATCTAGTATATACTTAGGGTCGAAAGTGGTTCCCATATTACTACTTTGGGGCCCAATATCAGAGACGACCTGGTAGCAACCTCGGTCTTTTTCCCAACCTAGGTTCCCTGCGAGTCTTGCAGTGCGACCCATCATGCCCTCCACATGTGAGCTAAAGTATAAACTCCCAGTATACTGTACCCCTTAATAACCCCTGTAGTACTCCAATATATAATCCACTATATAATTCACTTTCAGGAGTTTAGACTGCAGCTCATGTAGTGGTTCTAGAAGCCCTCACAGGCACCAATCTCATGGTTCAGGATACCGCTTGGAGCTTCACGGACTTAGTATCACCTACTTCTCAAATCTTAACTGAACTTTTGTAGGCAACCCCAATTCTGAGTACGCTTATAAGCCCAAGTATAAGTAGATATTGAATCCCATGAACCTTCAAGTGAGTCACAGTCTAAACTCCTAGTATCCCCCTGAATAACTCCTATAATATATAGTCCCCTAAATAATCCGCTATATAACACCCCTTCAACAACTTTAGACTCTTACCTCAAGTAGAAGTATACCCCAAGGGCTTCGGCCGGGGATTCCTAGACTCAGTAAGCCCTCGGAGACTCCAGATACGTGGGGCCCCAAACTAGCAGCCCAGACCCCCAAAAGGATCTAAAAATTAGAGCCCAGAACTACAGGGGAAATTCTATAAGGATTATATAGGGGGTATAATGGGTCTATATAGGGGATCCAATTCTTAGATCCTCTCAGGGGTCTGGG